CAAACACACACGCACACAAACACTTGTCATGATTTACCTGATCCATCGATCAATATCATTGAATGAAATGAATGAATGTAATAATAAGAAAAGGACGACAATTAAAATTTCAAAACAAATAATAATGATTTGTAATGAATTTTTAATATCCAAGAAACACACACACACCATTGAATGGACCATGGAATCGAGGTCAACAACAACAACAACAGCGACAACAGAACAAGAAATATTTTCATTTTGTAAAATATTAAAATCAAATGAACCATGACTACAAATAAATTGTATACGTGTCTACTAGATTTGTTTATTGATTATGATTTTTATTTTCACATATTTTGGGTGACTGTATAGTTTTTTTATTTATTTATTTATTTGGCTAATAATAAACACAGCAAAGATAATATTTCAAGAACATCATTTTTAATCTACCATTAAAAATGACAACACAACGACCACGACCACAAAGGTGGTGGTCATTGTGAATGGTTTGAAAAACGAGTTAAAATTTGAAAAATAAAACAAAAAACAAAGTAGTTCGGTAATTATCCACTATATATATGTGTGTGTGGTTGGCTGAATATCAGTGGGGAGGAACCATTTGATTGATATACAGAGAGAGAGAGATAGATAGATGAATCAAGAAAGAAAAAAAAACTAACCAGCCAATAAAAATAAACAGGCTTTTGTTGCCATTATGAATGTGTGCCATTATGTGTGTGTGTGTGTGTTGAGCTAATTTTAATTAGTTTTCAAAAAAAAAAAAAAATTCAGAACAATCATCCCTCATCCATCCATCCATCTCTCATTCATTCATCCGTACATGTTGGTGTGTGTGTGTGTACAGAGAGTTTATAGTTTGGAAAAAAAAATTTTTTCAACCTAAATATAGCTTGAAATCAGAATTAGTGGAAAAAAATATAAATTTTCTATGCATTGAGAGAGTGAGAGAGAGAGAGAGAGAGATACAAAGATTTCAATGCAATAATAATGAATGAATGAAAAGGCATTCGTTGTTGTTGTAGTTGTTGTTTTGAGAATATTACCGAATTAGATTTGATCATCATCATCATCATCATGATAATGATGATAATGATTGTCTTTCACAATTCAATTCAATTCGAATTAGTTAGCCAAGCTTGAAAATTTTCGAAATAAGAAAAACACACACATACACCAGTGTAGTATATATAAATATATATGGACTGAATTTCGCTTGTTTTTTTTTTTTTTTTCATGTCAATAAAATACAATATATATAATAATGAATGAAATGGTTGAAAAAATAAATTAATGGCCCTCTTTCTCCATGTCTCTCTCTCTCTCTCTTGTTCTATCATCGTACTGGAATAGGAGTTACCAAGATACAAGAGTAGAAAAAGAAGAAGAAGAAAAAATGTTAATGTTAAGACAATCATGTGTTAAGATAGACACTATAATAATTTCTTTTTTTCAAATCACACACACACACACACAAACACTAAATAACAAACAAGTCTCATTATCATTAGCCACACACACATACATACATACATACACAGAGAGAAATTTGTTTGTTATAAGTTGTGTCTATCCATAGATTTTTGCCACCGATCACACTTGTACACACCGAGGCACACCAAGGCACACCGAGACACACCTACCCAAACCAATTACATGAAGAAAAATTAATGATGATAATAATGAAAAAAAAACAACAACAAAAAAAGGATCAATATATGAAAATTAATGTTTCGATATAAAAAAAAAATGAAAATGAAAATTATCAATTGGCTTTTGCCACAAAATAAAAATCAATCATGGTGTTGATGATGATGATGATGAAAATTCCTAATTGTTTCTCATAAGACAATGTTGCTAGAAACAAAACAAAAACGATTATCATAAGAAAATTGTTTGGGCGTCATTGCAACAACAACAACAACAACGGACGACGAAAAAAAAATTAAATGTCAATCAAGTCATATCATTAAAAGGGATTGAAAATGTATTACAATTTTTGTGTGTGTGTGTGTGTGTGTGTTAATGAAAATGAAAATAAAAAAGAACCTGTCCGATAATGTTAATGATCCAGGATCAGAATGATGATGGTTCCAAACAAAAAAACAACAACAACAACTACAAAATTTTTTTCCCAGACACAAGTCTTTGTATGTGGATATTTTTTGTTGTTGTTGTTGTTGTCATTATCATTACGATTATTAATTGAAAAATGAACGAAATGAACAGAGAGAAAAAAAATTAAAAACGAACACAACGGAAAACATGAACCAAGTGAATGAACAAAAAAAAAAAAAAAAAGAAATTATTTTTTTTTCTGTACAATGGGATAGTGAGAAATATCTGTATATCCGATCACACATTGATGATCGAATGAAGCAAAACAACAACAACAACAACAAAATGATCTAAAATGAAATAATCGAAAGGAAATGAAACCAAGAACCATTGTTCATTGATACTACTACTACTACTAGTGCTACTGCTTACTAATGGTCATCAACAAACTTTCTGGAATGAAAAAAAAACACACTGGCCACGAGAGAGAGAGAGAAAGAGCAAGAGAACCGTTAGAAAATCACTGACAAGTCATTATAATTAATTACAGTCATCTATTTTAAATTAATTTTTGTTACAAAAAAAAAACTTTAGTGTAAAATAAAAAAAAAAATGAAAATGTGTAGCCACCACTGTGTGTGTGTATGTATGTAGTTGTTGTTGTTGCTGTGTAGCAGAAAAAAAATGATTTAAACAACCAACCAAACAACAACAACAACAACAACAACAACAAGAATCAATCAACCAATCAACCAAAAAGAGAAAAAAAATAACAAGAATAGAATATACCGGAGAAGTTTGTTAGTTAGTTAGATTCAATTTCTTATTGTTCTAATTTTTTTTTTATCATCATCATCAATTTGGAACAAGCAAAAAAAAAAAAAAATTTTTCACACACACAAAAACAGAAAATAAAACAACAAAATTATCTGACGCATGACGAACAAGATGATGATGAGAAAAAAAATTCTGATTAATAATATCCTACACACACACACACAAATACACAAACAAAGCACTATCTTTAGCAATTTTTTCTTTTTTTCCCAAAAAGATTGATAATCATTAATTCATTTTGAGCAGATTGATGTGAGAAAAAAAAAATGTCAAATGATCAATGACTTACTATTCTTGGTGACATAACATATGATGAAAACAATGATGATGATGATGATGATGATGAATCACAACAAGGTGTGATTGGTGATGATGAAACTTGATAATATGATATGGTTCATTTGTTCGTTAAGCAGGTAATGATGATGAAATTTTTTTTTTTGTCTGTCTGAAAAAAAAGACTTTACACCTTAACATTTAGCACATACTGATTGTCAAACACATGTCATCGGGATATCATTTTTGTTCATCAAAAAAAAAAAAAAATAAAATCAATGAATGAAATGCTCATGAATATATCATACTCATGTATAAATAAAAAAAATTCCATCATTTGACGAAAGATGGCGCTAAAAAGTCATTGATCCAGGTAGAAATTATTATACGATCATTTTGAATATTATTACGACACCACCAACCATCATCATTTCATTTCATTTATTATTAAAATTATTTACAAGAATTAATTTGAAAAACGAAACAAAAAAAATTTTTTTCATTTTTCCCTCCGAATCCTCTCCAAAATTGTTCACCATTTTTATTGTTTCAAAAAACCAGTAATAATCGATGATGATAATGACGACAATGACGACAATGACAACGACGAAAAAAAAAATCGAAAACAGCAGCAAAAATTACCAGAGAAAAAAAGAAAAAAGAATCCAAGAATCATATGGATCGATTGATTGATCGACAAACAAACATACCAGAAAAAAAAATGAAGAAATCCAGTGAAATGAATTTTTCTCGTTTTTTTTTATTTTTTAAAAAGAAAGAAAAATGCAATTATAATTTATTTTATTTTCATATTTATATTTACTGTATGTATCTCGGTGTGTGTGTGTGTTTATATTGTTTCAGCAAACGAACAAATGAAAAAAAAAATTCAGGCTGTGTTGTGTGTGTGTGTGTGTGTGTGTGTGTATTTGTTCAACCAACCCAATCTAATTTTTTCATTTTTCGTTTATGATTCATAATTTTAACATTTAATGATTATATATTTATATCTCAGTGTCACTGTAAGTGTAATATATCAAAATGATGACTTTGAGTGTTTGTGTGTGTGTGTGTATGATCAATGAATGAATGAATGAATGATGATGATGAGAGACTATTTGAGGAAAAAAAAGCGAACAAGAAAGAGAGAGATTCACATTTTCATATATAAATTAATAATAATACGATGACGACGATATATATATATAACGTGGTAGAAGAAAATCAAAGAAAGAAAGAAAGAAAATTCGTGAAAAATCAATTTTTTTTTGTTTTATACAATGCACATGTGTGTGTGTGTGTATGTATCAAGTCAAGTTTATTAAAATTGTTGCTGTTGTTGTTTGATAATTGATAATAATGAATAATGAATAATCGATCGATTGAGTTGAGAAAAAGAGAGATTTTAAGAAGAAAATTTTTCATATTAAGCAGAAGAAGAAGAAAAAGAAAAAGAAATAAAAAGTAGTAGGAACCATTGGTGTGTGTGTTTTTTCCAAAAAAAAACTTGTCTTACAAAGAAAAATGAAATGCAATTGTGAAATGTTCAGTGGTTATTATTCCATACGGTAAATATTAATTGGTTTTTAAATCATTGAAGGATTCATATTATTTTTTTTTTTTGTTTATTCTGGACAAATGGTCTGATGAAAGATGGAGATAAAAAAAACAGGTCAAAAAAATGAATGAATGTTTGAATGATGATGATGATGATGATAATGAGAATCGAAGCACTTTTATCGCATGTTTCGTTGAAGAATTTTTTTTTTAAATTTCCATATTTAGTTTTTAAGTAGAAAAAAAATGATGAATAAGTAGTTTGTTGACTATTTTTTATTTTTCGTGTGGTTTTCACCATTCATTCATTCATTTATTCATTTTCACCACCATTTGTTTGTGATTGTTGTATCAATTCGGCTAGATTATTACCAAATTGACCACTATCAACGCCATCACCATTATTATTATTATTATTATTCTGCATTCCAGAAGCCAGATTCTGTATCATTTGTAGTTGTTGTAAAAATCTTTGTGCAGCTACCGTTTCTTGTTGCTGTTGTTGTTGTTGTTTGTTCAAATCAAATGATTGATTTTGATTCTGCTGATACGATGATGCAATAGGGAAATCTGTTGAATTGTCATCATCATCATCATCGTCGTCGTCGTTATCATTATCATTGTTTTGTTGTTGTTGTTGTTGTTTTTGTTCATATGAACCTTATTATTGCTATCAATCTGATTCTTAAGACGATCTAGATGTGATTTTGAGAAAAGATGTTCCTGCATCGATTGTTGTTTATGATTATATTTTACATTACAAATATTACATTGATTTGATGATGATGACAATGATTGATCGAATTGTTGATGATAAGGATGATGGCCCATCATTGCTGCAGCTGATGAACGAGATTTTTTATATTTAGCACGTGCATTTTGAAACCAAACCTGTACAACACGTTTAGAAAGGCCAAGCTCTCGACCCAATGTTTGACATTCCAACATTGTTGGTGTTTTATAATCAGCAAATATTGATTTCATCACTTTTACCATTGTGGTTGTCATTTGTGTACGAAATCGTTTACTATTGCCAGTTTTTACATTGCTATTGTTACTGCTTCTATTTTTGTTGTTGTTGTTGTTGTTGATTGTCGTTGTATTCGCCGATGTTATTATCAATGGATCGCCACCACCAACACCACCACCACCACCAGCAGCAGCAGCACCAAAAGATGTGGAATTAGGATTTTCACCATCAACATAATAATCATCATTAATCTCCTCTTCTTGATCCGAATCAACAAATGAATCCGATGATGATGATGATGATGATGATGATTCTAATGAACATGTGTCGTTGTTGTCGATTGTTGTTTCATCATCTCGACTGTTATGATGAAATTGATTGGAATTAGCAATATTGTTAGTATTGTAATTGTTGGCTTTGGTGGAAATGGATATAAGGTCATCATTGTCATTATTATCTTGTTGTTGGCTCAATGTTTGTTGCTGTTGTTGTTGTTGTTGCTGTTCTGCTGCTGTCAAGGCTGACATCATCTTGAAGGCGAACTCTGCGGGCAATTGACCGCCATCTTTTCCTGGAGATGAACGAAGATGTTAGCTATGTCTGTGCAGTAGTACAATTATAAACGAACGGGTTTTTTGTTATTATATAGATAGATATATTTAGAATAACTAAAATTATAAGTAATCAATGTCTATCTCCTTCATCATTTGTTATTTCTGGCTATCGATTGCTTTTTTTTCTATGTCTTTCTCTAAGTGTCTATGTCTGTGTGTGTGTGTGTGTGTTTGTTTGTATGTGTGTAAATGGGTGGATTTGGGTGAAAAAAAATCAATTTCTAAAACAATTGTTTGATACTAACCTTGAATATTCAATTCATCCAGATATTTTTTAAATGAATCTTCATATCTTTTCATAACATCAGCCATTTGTGAATTATTATCACCATCATTACCGATATCAGGCATACCATCACCATCTTCCGAAGGATCACCATCAGGTAGATTATCAATATTAATATCACCTTTTGTATATTGATCAGCATGACGTGTGGCCAGATGAGATTCTAGCGCTGAACGAGCTTTAAATAATGCCCGACAGAATGGACAACGTTTATGAATCACTTGTTGATGTGCACGAAATTGACCTTTTCTTTCACGTGCACGTGTATTCTGGAACCAAACCTGTACGACACGTTTTTTCAATCCGACTTCTTTTGCAATACTTTCTAACATTTTTCTTGATGGATTCGAATCAATCTGATATTTTTGATACAAATAATCCAATTGTTCAGGTAGAATGGTTGTCCTTAATCGTTTATCACGTGGTGTTTGATCACTTGAATTACTATTATTACCATTACCACTCATTGAATCAAAATCATCACGTGATTCTTCATCATCTTCATCATCATCATCAGGTGTTTCGATAATTTTACGTTTAGTACCAGATTGTATCATTGAATTTGGTGATGGTTGTGGACTTGTGCTTGTCATTGGCTGTAGTGGTTGTTGTTGCAGTTGTTGATGAGGAGGAGGAGGAAGAACAGATTGATTATCAAGATGTTGTTGCATCAATCCAAATGGATTAGCCGTTGCTTGAAATAGATTTGAATTAACAATATGTACAATCTGATGATCTCTCCATAGATCCAAACGATTGAAAACCATTGGACATTTATCACAACGGAATGTTTGATTATTTTCATTACTGGTAATTGGGCTTGTTTTGCTCGTAGTATTACCCGATATGCTTGATGGAGATGCAACCGTAGAATTCGGACTGGTCATAAGATTTAGCTGAATTTTTTCCGGTGTAGCTGTACTTGATCTTGTACAATCAATAGGTGTGGATGTTGAATCACGTGATGTGGAAACATTTGGCGAAGTAGCCTGTGCACGTGCTTCGGCTGCCATTCGAATCTGTGCGGCTAATGGATTTTCATCTTTGAAACAAGAACTTTTCTGATGTTTAATCAATTCATAATAACGTTGAAATACTTGTAAACATTTTTTACATTGATAATTTAAACCAGGTGTACGTTGAAATCGACCAGTACCATCATCTTCACCAACAGGTGTTGTTGGTGGTTGATTTTCATACACTTTACGTGCTTTTTGCCGTGCATTCTGAAACCAAACAACAATAACACGTGGACTTAGATTCAACAATTTAGAAAGATATTCAAGATCATCATCTTTTGGATAGGCATTTGATTCAAAAAATTCTTGCAATACTTTTATCTGATAATCAGTAAAACGTGTACGATTCGCTCGTTTACCGGATGATGAATGTGTACTAACATTCGGTGGTGGTGTTGTCATCATGCTCGATTGATTAGCCGCTACAGCGGCTGCAGCAACAGCCAATTGTGATCGTTGTGCTGCATCCAATGCGAATTGTAATGGTGATGATGAAGCGATACCAGGATGATTGGCTAATGATGCATGATTGAAATTAGTCAGACCAGCAAATAATGATGATGATGATGTAGCAACTGATTGATTATTATTATTGTTAATCGATTCACATGCTGATGACATTGATGATTCTGATGGTGGTGGACTATTTGTCTGATATGACATTGTTTTACTTAATTGATCAAAATCTTGATGTTGTTGTTGTTGTTGTTGCTGCTGCTGCTGGATCGAACATGACAATTGATGATGATGATGTTTAGAATTACCGGATAATTCATTACCAATTTCCATCATCATTGTTGGTTGTTGTAGTTGCTGTTGTTGATCGATTGAAATCATTTCTTTCGTTGCGGATGATGATGAATGATTACGTTGATGTTTGACTTCTTCATCATCCGATGTTGCATAATCAGTATCTTTATTTGATGATGAACTTTTTAAATCACTGAATTTTTTCCTTCACATTCACTTTCTGAATCATTTGGTTTCATATCTTTCATATTATTGTTACTGTTAGTCGTATTCGTTATATTGGTGATTGACATTGATTTTTCTTTACCACTTACATTACCACCACTATTTTGTTCTCCTCCAACTGGATTTTCTGTTTTTTTCAAATCATCCAATGTAAATACTTTAGCTTCACCTGTTTTTTCATATTCATCCAAATTTAAAAATGTTGATGGTGGATTATTAAAATTGTATGGTGAATCTTTATTACGTTGCCGTTCTTTGAATAATGTATTACGAAACCAATGTTTTATTACTTTCATTGGTAGTCCAGATTTTTGACTCATTTCAATTAATTGTTCTTCAGTTGGTGAATTATTGATATCAAAATATTGTCGCAAAACTTTCAGCTGTTCATCACTGATACGTGTTCGTGCACGTTTTTGTTGTTGAGAAACGGATGCTGCAGCGGCGGCCGCAGCAGCAGCCGCAGCAACAGCGGCTGTTTTTTGATTGTTTATTGTTTGTGTATTAACTATCGGCGTTTGAATAGGCATTACCGGTGTTGTTGGTGCTGGTGATGGTGTTCCCGGTGTTGAATGATTATTTGTCGATGTTACTTGTTGTTGTTGTTGTTGCTGTTGTTGTTGGGCTTGATTCAATTGTGCTGCCGCAGCAGCGGCTGCTAATGCTGGATTGTTGAATGCCGCAGCAGCAGCCATCATTGGATCAGCCATCATTACCGGAATCAATTGTGGTGGAATACCCATGGCGGCAGCAGCAGCAAATGGTACATTCATACCGGGAGGCATTGGCATTCCGGCAGCCATACCGGCTAATCCCATACTCATTAACAATTGACTAAATTGAATATGAGCAGCCATCTGATTTGCAGCAGCAATTTCAGCTGGTGTTGAATTAGGTGATAAATTCGGTAATAATTGAACAAGATTATTTGCATTAGCTGCAGCAGCAAGTTGATTCATATTGGCCAATTGATCGGCTGTAATCATGTTTGTGATTGGTTCACCGCCAACAATTGAATTATTGGCTGACAATTGATTCATTGATCCAATGAATGAAGAAGAAGCAAGAGGATGATTTGAAGTATTATCGGCTGTAGTGTTATCGGAACCATTATTATTATTGTTGTTTCGTTTCATTTCAACATTATCATTGTTGTTGTTGTTTTTGGTTATTATTGTTGTTGTTGAATCTTCAATAGTTTTATCATCATCATCGTCATCGTCATCATCATTATCATTACCATTGAAGAATTTACGATCATATTCATTACGATATTCATCGGCAAATGATTCAACAACATCTAATGGTATGACATCTTTATGAATTTCTTCACGATGTGCTTTCAATACCCATATAGAGGAAAATTCTTTCAAACAAATATCACATTGACATTTGTTTATTTCTGGCGGTACATTTTCATTATCATTTGTTGTTGTTGTTGATTCGGCTATTGAATTATCTTCTTGTTTGTTATTTGTTGTTGTTGCTGCTGCTGAATTTGGATCACTAACAACGGATTGTTCGATTGGATTAGCGGTAGATGTAGCGGTTTCATCAGTTTCATTATTATCTACTGCTTTGCTGTTGTGGTTGTTGTTCATCATTATTTTCAACATTTTCTTCATCACCATTATCTTCATCTTTATTACAATCATCCATTGCTGTTGTTGATTTTTTATTTTTCTGATTACTTTCATTGAATTGCATTACAATTTCAAATCCCCATGTTTCAAGTAAATGTTTATATAGCTGTGGTTTATTCTTATATAATGGACCTTGTAGATTCGATAATTTTGATAATGCTTGTTGCTGTTTAGCTTGTTGAGCGGCAACAAATTGCATATTATTCACATTGGTTATATTACCAAATAGGCCACATAATTGTTGATGTTGAATTTGGGCATCTTGTGAAATGAATGCTGCACCACATTTAACGCAGGTAAATGGTAATTGTTGACCACCAACACCACCATTCATTTGATTCATCATTGTTGTTTGATTATTAATCATATTCGATGAACCTGTTTGATTAGGATTCGTTCCGGCAGCCAATGCAAGATTAAGTGCTGCTTGTTGAAAAGCTAATGCTTGTTGCTGCTGCTGCTGTTGTTGTTGTTGTTGTTCATTAAGATTGGCCATCAATATTTCAGGAAATTTATTATTTAAATTCGGACTAGTTGAATTGGTTTTGGCACTTGATTCAATCGATAATGTTGAATTGATTTTCGATGACGATGATGGTGATGAAGAATTGTTGTTGTTGTTATTGTTGATATTATGATCATAATGATTGAGTGGTTCAATTAATGGCAAACTTAAATCCAATTGACCACTTTGAGCCAATTCATGTAATTTCGATGTACGTTGTTGATGTAACGTTGATCGAAGATGTTGATGTAATGATGATGCCATCGAATAGCTAACTTTACATAGATTGCACTTGTATAATTTATTTTCATTATTATCATCATCATTTATCGATTCATTTGTTGTTGAATTATCGTTATTGGATGATGATGCGGCAGCAGCTACCGATGCAGCAACAGCAGCACTACTTTCTTTCATACTTTGTTTCAATTTATGTAAATGTGATACAGAATTATAATGAACCAATAGTATGTTTTTCTGCGTAAATGATTCTTTACATATTTCACATTTAAATGGACGATTTGGATCCAAATATTTTTCCATTGGATAGCTCATTTTTTCACCTTTACGATGTAATAATGTTTTATTATGTGATGTAAGATAACTTTGTCTAGTGAATGCCACTTTACAACGATGACATTTAAAACGACGATTTGGATCATTATAATTATCTTCAGCTAAATGTTGTGAATTCAGATAATCTTCAAGACTTGAATTATCCACATTATTGATTGAACCACTGCCACCACCATTGAAAATGTTGTTAATGATGGAACCAGAAACATTTTCCGATCCAGACATTGATTCCATGTTATTATTGTCCATTGATTGATTATTATCATTTTCATTAGAATCTTTATTATTGGCTAAATCAATGGCACCATTATTTTCCAATTCCATTGATTCATCATTATCATTATCATTTTCACCACAACGAAAAGATTCTTTTTTCAATAATTCTGTTGTGGCAGGATCCAATATACCACCATTACGGCCAAGAGCGAATAGAAATTGATTATTAACCAAATTAGCTTTATATTGTTCTAATTCATCATCATTCAGGTTTGAATGTGCAGATTCCACATGTTTCTGTAATGATTCAACTGAACGAAAACTTCGTCCACAAATAACACATTGTGTTGCTGCACGTATCAAATGATATTGTGAATGTAGTTGCAATTTTTCAAATGTTTTAAATGCCAATGAACATTGTGTACAACGATATTTATAAACATGACGGTCAGAAATTGGTACATTCGATGCCAGATTTGATGTTATCTGACTGTTATTCGTCAATTTTAAACATTTAGAAAAATGTTGTTGTGTACTGTTATCCATCATTGTCATCATCATTGATTGTGTCATTTCATCATCATCAGTAGTATTAGTAGTAGGAGCTGCCATTAACAATTTAGAATTGTTAATTGAATCATTTGAATTTGGTCGTCCATTATCATCAATAGCACCATCTACATCATCATTGTCATCATTTTGTTGTTGTTGTTGTTGTTGTTGTTGATGACTGAAATTCATTTCACGATTCATAATTTGATCGACATCACTTATTTTGTTTATATTATTATTGGATGATGATGATGATGAATATTTATCCAATTCACTTGTATCAACTAATAACATTAATCTTTGTACGCCTTCTTTATTCACATTATGTATTTCGACTAGATGACATTCAAGACGATTCTTTTCATTAAATGGTTCTTGACATAATGGACACAATATTGATGGTACAATAGTAGCAGTAGTAGTAGTAGTAGAATTATTATTGCTGTTAGATTTTGTCGTTGTCGTCGTTGTTGTTTTCGGTTGTTGTTGTTGTTGATTCTGTTGTTGCTGATCATTTAATGATTGTTGTTGTTGTTGTTGTTGTGGTTGATGAGCAGTTAAAATATGCATTTGAACATGTAATTCCGATGTATGTGAATATGGACAAAATGGACAATTGATTGATGATTGAGATTCGTTTTCGTTATTGTTGTTGTTGTTGTTGCTATTCTGTTGTTGTTGTTGTTGTTGATGAAGTTGACCAACAAGTTTTACCTGTTCCATTAGAACATTTTTCAACATTAATGGATCAGCATTATTTAAATCTGGAAAAAATGGTGATGATGATGATGATGATTGACCAACAAGTTTTACCTGTTCCATTAGAACATTTTTCAACATTAATGGATCAGCATTATTTAAATCTGGAAAAAATGGTGATGATGATGATGATGATCCATGGCCAATATTATTGTAATCATCGTCTATGTATTCATCATGGAAAACATAAGTGGAAAGAAAAAAAAACGAGAAAACAACAAAACAAAACAATAAGACAATTGGCAATTATTGACAAAATGACAAGAAAAAAAAATCGTATTACACTTTATATGTTATGTGAAATTTGGTCAAAAAGATAATTATTATTGTTTCACACAAGCAATTATCTCCTATGATGAGAGATACCTAAAGCCTGTAGGTAGTAAAGAACCAAGTGATAATGATATTTTGAAACACAGAAACACAAAAACAAAACAAAAAAAAATAATCATGGCCATATTTAAAATGACAAAACAAAAAACAACAACTTATCAGCCACATGTGTGTTTTGTTTGTACCCACCATAAAATGAAAAAATACCCATTATCTCTCTTATGGATCAAACAACATTATGAATAATACAAAAGAATTGTGAAACATGTGTGTGTGTGTGATTATGTGTGTGTGTGTGTTGAATTCTAATCAATTTTGAATTTCAAGAGTTTTTGACGAAAAAAAAATGGAAAAAAAATTCGATTAAGTGCATCATTCTTCTTCGTTTTTTTTCCTACAACCGATTCTATAGAGTCATCATCATCCTTGTCGTCGACGGTAACATTTTGTTTTTTTCTTTTCATAGAATAGAAATTAATTTTAAATTTCAATTCGAGTAAGAAAATCGAGTTTGTGTGTGTGTGTGTAGAAAGACGAATTCAAGAGTACAAGATAAATTACTTTAACCATTGGTATACAGTGTTTCGGTACACACACACCAGAGAGAAAAAGAAAGAGAGAGAGAGAGAGATCACTAAGATAAAAAATGAACTGAAAATTCGAACGAAAAACAGAAAATTTCAAAATAAAATCTAAAACTGTCATGACAGGAATTAGAATTTCTATTTTTTTTCTCTCTTCATCGTATCGATTTGATGACAGACATCGTCACCGTACACCGAGTTAATGATTGTTGATCGTATGGTATGGCAATATAATTCTCGGGTGGATGAATATAATTCTTTTTTCTTTGTCGGTTGTTCTAAAGAAGAATCATAGAAATGGATTCTGTTTGAAAGAAAAAGGGAGGTAGTATTTCCAAAAGTTTTTTCTTTTTCTTTTTGTTGTTGTTGTTGTTGTTTTCAAAAATAGAAAGAAAGAAACCCCATAGAAACCATTTGTAAGGGAAACATTTTTTCTGATACAAATTATCATTATATTTCAAATGATGATTTTTTCCATTTTACAACATTCATTTCATTTCATCTGGTAAAAGAATTTATTTATTAATCAACACAGCATAACACAACAATGGAAAGAATGTTTCCATCGATCAAAAGAATTTAAATAAATCAAATGTTTTTATTTTTCATTTCTTGTTTTTCAAGAATATCGAGTGAGAACAAAAGGGGTAGAATTCTCGCTCTTTTTTCTGTTCTCATAACGATCATCATTATTGTCGTGGAATTTTACGTGATTCAATTTATTCGAAAAAAATAAAAAATAAAAACATTGACACACACAAAAAATCAAATCGAATTTCATAGATCGAATTGACGATACGAGAGAAGAGAGAGAGAAAAAAAAAAGTTATTGATGATGATAATGATGATGATGACAGTGTTAATAGTAAATGAACAAAATGAAAAACTTTAAAATTCAAACAAAAGAGAAACGAGAATCATAATCATCATCATCATCACCATTGAATTGAATAGAATTTGATAAATGAAATGTAAATTTTCATCAATTAATCAACACTGTGTTTGTGTGTGTGTGTGTGTGTGTGTGCAATATTGATGATGATCATCTTCTACACTTATAAATTGAAATAGATTCAAAATAGTTGATAATTTTGTAATTGATAAATTGGAAAAAGAAGCAAAAGCAAAAAAAAAAAAAATTTAAATTACATTCTTGCCATCATCATCATCATTATTTTCAGTCAGCAAGTCAGCTATTCAATTCATTCATTCTGTGATGTGATGAAAAAAAAATTTTTTTTTTCGCACATTTCACAAACAGCTTATTATTATTATGATGATGATGATGAAAAAATAGCAAGAATTTGCAACATGATAATGAATGAATAAATGGATGTTTTTTTTTTTGAATTTCCATCATCATCATTATTATTATTTAGAGACGAAAAATGAGAAAATCGTCGTATATAGTGTTATTATTATGAAACATGATTCTACTATCGAAAGAATGAGAAAAGAATATTCATTTTCAATAAAAATAAACGCACACGTTTGTAACAATAATGATGTTGATGATTTTTTTAAAATTGAATTTTTTTTTTTTTGAGAAAAAAAACGGATACAATAAGATGATGATGATGAACAAGAGGCAAGAATCGATTATTATTATTTCTAGAAATATTCTTCAAACATCAAGAATCATCATACACAAGTCAAAAAAATGATTTTTAATTAAAAAAAAATACAGTGTTGCTAGCAGAAATTCAGGATATTCAATTACCTGAACTGGTGATGACGATGATGATGTGAATAATTGAAAAAAATTTCTAATAAGTATTACAAAGTTGAACAAATAAACAAAAATGAAAGAAAGCAACCGAATCGGATCATACAACGTGAAACGTCGTACAACAACACAGAGTGATAATAATAATACAACGACGATGGTGATGATCGACATTGATGATGAGAATATTGAAAATGAGTTTTTTTTTCTCTCTCTCTCTCTCTCTCACCATCATCATCTCATCATCTATCCATCCATCCATCTATTCAATCAATCAATCATTCAATGATCATCATCATCATCATAAGTATATGAAACGTTTAATGTTTTTTTTTCGACATTTTTTTCAGTTGGATTGGATGGCAAAAAATTTTTTTTCTCTGAAAAATCATCAATTTTTCGCATAACAACCAAATATATTATGCCTTATTAAATAATGTAAAAAAATGTCTCTCATGGTTTGTTGTTGTTGTTGTTGTTTGTCGATTTCGGTTTATTGTTCTTCTTCTCATCATATTAAATGAGCTTCCTATTTTCTTGTAATTTTGTGAATATTTCCTCTCAAAAACGAATGAAAGAAATAGAAAGATGATGAGATGATGATTTATTTTGTGTGTGTGTGTGTGTTGTATTATAATGCAAAAATCGATAATTTCAACTTAACCCGAAATGAATGAATGAATGAATGGAAAAAAATAATGAAAAATGCAAAGAAAAATTTTCTTTGATTAGTGTGTAAAAAGAAAGCACAATGGATTGTGTTTTTTTTTTCTTTTAACTTTTGACCTGATGATGATGATGATGATGATGATGATGAGTAACAGAATAAAACAGGCTAAAAAACATTTTGATGAGAAATTTGTGTGTGCATTGGTGGTGGTGGTGGAGATGATTTCATTTCAAAGAATCAATTTTTTTTTATCTCTCTACAAAACAAAATTTCAATTTATTAATTGAATTTTTTTTTCTCTCTTTGTACAATTGAAATTTGCACTGATAAAAAAGTGAAATTCCAAGAATTCTCGAATCAATACAACATTTTAGTGAACAAAAATTTTTTTTGTTGCTATTTTTGTTGTATTAAGAATCGGAAATAAACTCGGAATTATGAACAATCAACGAATAATAAATGAAGATGAAAATTCACACAAGAGGCACACACACACAACGGTGACTTTAACATTATTATTATACTGTGTAAATGTAATGATTATTGTGGTCATACACATATATCATAATCGCCTGTGTATTCAAAGATAAAAAAATTTCTTTTGATTTTATTTTACAGGTCGGATGTCTATTTCATTCGCTAAATCATTTATTTTGTGTGTGTGTGAGAGATTAGATTTCATTTACTGATTCGATGATAATGGTGGCAACATTGATTCATTCTAATCATATTAGATAGATCATTATGATGAAGTAATGATGATTTTCATTTTTTTTTTCATATAATAAACATTTCAAAAATGAGAATTTTTTTTCTTTCTCTTTATCTCTTCAAGATAATGAAATTTTGCATATTCAAAAAAAAAAAATGATATCGGACATTTTCATTAAATGTCAAATCACAATGTAAAATAACAATGGCCATCTGGCCGCTAAACTTAATTTATTGAATATGTCTCTGTGTGTGTGTGTGTGTGTGTGTGTGTGTGTGTGTGTGTGCAAATCCGACAAATTTTTTTTTTTCTTTCTTTTTGCTTACAGAAAATCATCATCATCATCATCAATGAATAAATACCGGAGATTGAAATGAAATGAACAAAATGAGTCTGGTGTGACCGTGTGTGTGTGTGTGTGTGTGTGTGTACAATGAGATAATCTTTTTCTTTTTTTTTATGCAAGTTAATTTTCATGATGATGATCATGATGATGGACAAGAAAAATTGTCAAAAAAAAATTTTCATTTTGATCAAATTATTTTTTTGCAAATGTTTGTTTGTTCAATATGAATAAATGAAATGAATGAATGAAAAATGAAAATGGACAACAACAGCCACAACAAGATGATGATGAGAAAGTGATGGTAAAATACTGACCACCACCACCACCACTAACAATCATTAGTTCATTTTTAGTAAAAAAATATTATAGTGGTCACCATATAGTGGCCGGCCCCAATGACAATCATCATTATGTTTGAGATTTTAATGAATATCACACACACACACACACACAAACACAAACATAAAAAATTGGAAAATGAAAATCGAATAATTTTTTTTTTTTTTTTTTCATTTTTTCCTTTTCAAAAATTTTTTTTCTGAAGGAAAAACACACACACACACACACACACATAGAAGTCAGTTTAATTTTCCTGCCAAAAAATTTTTATTTTATTTTCAATTCAATGTCTTTACTATCATCGGCCATTGACCATTGGTCGAAACGAGTTAATGATAAACACTTTAATCATCATCATCATCATCATCATCATCATCATCATCACCATGATGATGATGATGATGATCATTTCAAGCTTCTAATCATTTCATTCATTCATTCATTCAAATATCAAGTAACACAACATATATACACATACATATCATTAACATTTTTTTTTCACAACACCAACACACACACACACACAAAAAAACTGAAGAAAAACATTGACAAACTTGATGAACTATTCAAGATTTTTATTCACAATTCAATTGTTTTCAAATGGATAAAGGGATTTTTCCTTTCTCTCACCATCATCATCATCATCATCATTTTTTTGACTTATGAAATTTCAGTCAATACATCAGTAATATATAATTCTTGATCTATCGGAATAATAATCATCATCATAATGATCGGTGAATTTTTCATCTTCATCATCGTCATCCAAAAAAAAGGGAGAAAAAAAAATACAATGAAAAAAAAGTGTCATTGATAATCGATTTATCGTTAAAATAAAATCAAAAAAAAAATCTCTTGCATATATCGATCTCTAATAAAATCTTACAATATATATTCATATATATAATCAATTATATTGAATTTCAGAAAAAAAAGAGTTTGATCCAGAGCAAGAAAAAAAAACGAGCACCATATGGCACATGATATGCTAATTTTTTTTTTTTTTTTTGGCTGATCCTAATTACATATTGAGTGTTCTTTTTTTTCTATGGAAAAAAAACAGCTGGTTCTCTTATTCTCTTATACAGATCAATAAATTTGTTTCCATTTCCGGTTCCGTTCTTTTTTGATCAATCAAAATGTATAAATCATTACTAACTTACCATTATTATTATCAAAGATAATTTTATCATCTGGACGTAATTCTTTGACGAGAAACATTTCACGTATTTCTTCATCAGAATCTTTCATCAAACTAGTGGAATTGGTATTGGTCGATTGCTGCTGCTGCTGCTGTTGTTGCTGATGTTTCAGTTGCCGTAAATTTTCATTACGAATATGTTTAAATGAATTTAGATGTTGAATCAGTTGAATTTTAGTAGTGGTTGCCGTTGAACATAGTGTACAATAAAAATATTTATTATTATTATTTCCTGAGATATTAAACTCTGAGATTTGTAGATGATTAAATATACGGCTATAAACATCATGACGTGGATTTGCACTATGTAATTGTAATTTATGTATTGAATTCGTATAATAATTACAAACATTACAACGTATCACTTGTATTGGATTGGACATTTGTACAAGTTTGAGCTTCAAATGTTCAGCATTAACACCTGAACTACCACCTTCTTTAATATGATTAACATGTTGTAATCGTTGTAGATGTTTATCCGTTTTACAATGCAGTTGGAAATTTGCCTTTAAATTTGTTTTATATGAACATAGTTTACAAATATAACTACCACCAATGGACATTAATACTTCATCTTCACGTGTTCGGGTACGATCACATTGGATATGTTGATTCAATGAATCAATTGAATCGGATGTAAAATTACCACAAACACAACAATGATATAGATGACAATTATCATCAAATGGAACAGAATTTGCTATATTCGCTATATTTGGATCTGTATGTTCCATATCGAATGTAGCCTGTAAATATGTAAAACGAAAAAATGATGATAATAAATATGAATTAATCAGTATCGATACAAAATCGATAATCGATAATAATAATAAAATCAATTGATTCACATTACCTGTAAACCATTTGGCATGATTGATTTCGATTCATTTGTTTGTTGTTGCTGCTGCTGCTGTTGTTGTTGTTGTTGTTGCATCAAAGCAGCCATTGTTCGTTGTTGTTGTTGACTTGCCATCATTAATAATGCATGATTATAGGCCATATCAGCCAAGGCAACTTCCGGTTGCATTGATGCATCATTATTGTTATTGATTGTATTTGTTCCATTGTTGTTCATACCGGCAGCAGCTGCTGCTGCTGCGGCAGCCGCAAAAAATCCCGGATTCAATTGCAATAATTCTGGACTCAATATTCCAGCCTGTTGAATGGCATTCAGTTGTTGCATTTGTGTGACATTCTGTTTGAGCACCATGATGTTATGTGTATGTTTTTCACTTGTCATATGAATACGAAGATTACGTGCAACATTTGTTTCATAATTACAAACATCACAACGCCATGTTGCTTTTTGTTTTCCATTACTCGAACCGCTATTTTGATTATTGGGCGTCGTTGGTGGTGTTTGTGATGGTGGTGTATGAACCAAATTATTGGCTACCATATTTCCACTACCACCACCACTGGCATTGTTTGTTACCATTTTTACTTGAAGTTGTTGATTTTTGGCATCTTGTTGTTGTTGAGCGGCCACAATCGACATAGATGTTGGTGTTGTCGTTATTGGTGAACCGGATGAATTTGTTGTCGTAGATGATGATGTAGTCGTCGTTGTCATTGATGATGTAGTACCTGTAGCATTTGCAACAACAGCCGCAGCAGCTGATGCTTGTGCTACAGCAGCAGCTAATGCTTGTGATTGCAATAAATGTTCAGTTGCCGTAGCAGGTATATTACCATTTTGTAATTCTTGAACATTATTAATATGTTTATCTGATTGCATATGAATACTAAGATTTCCTTTAGTGGTTGTTGAATAATTACAAACATCACAACGATATGGTTTATAACCACATGTATAGGTTTCACCACGTGCTAAACGTGGATGCGGTTGATTAGTTAGACAATAAATACAATTCATTTCATTTTCAGGATGTTTTTCTTTCATATGTATCTCTAATGTTTCCTGATATTTATAATGCCAATTACATTTTGGACATTTCAATGTTTTACATGAATTACGTGAATGTTGCATCAATAATGGTGGATGATTCGTTTGTGAGGTTGTTGATAATGTTGATCGTTGTTGTGTTATATGATTATTTATTACCGTTGATAATAGATTGGCTGTTGCTGTTGCTGTTGTATCACCACCAACACCATTATCTGATTGACTATTATTGAATAATGATGATATGCTTTTATTATCATTACTGGTAACAGCGGCAAGTAATCCACCACCACTATTATTGATTAATGAATTTTTTGGTGATGAAACAAGTTTATTTGTCACCGTTGAACCACCAGGTGATGGTGTACGATTTTGTTGACCGGAAACTTTATTATTGGAAGCAGCAACAGCAGCCATCACAGCAGCAATTGAATGAAGATCAATTTGTTGTTGTTGTTGTTGAGCAGCAGCAGCAACGGCTGCAGCTTGAGCGAATTTTTCCAAATTGGCGAGATCGGCTAATTCCGATGCAAATTGTGATGCAGCATCATTGGAATTATTATTGTTATGTTTATTATCAAAATTAATAATCGTATCGATTGTTTTCGAGCTAGAATCTTTACTATTATCATTATCATTAATAGGAATGTTGACATTTGTTTGTGGCTGTTGTTGTTGTTGTTCACCATCATCGATTGACTGTGATGATATCTGGTGAATAGAATTAGTATCATCAATATTCATTGATTGATGATCAGATGATTGATTATTATTTGGACTATTTAATAATGATGATGATGAGCTTGTCACAATATCGGATAATGATGAATTATTATTTGTATTATTGGTGGTCAATGATGTTGTTGTTGTCGTTGATGTTGTTGATAAATTATTTGAGCGTGATAATGCTGAAGCAACCGCTGCCATTTGTACGGCAAGCAATCGTTGAGCATCAATTTGTTGTTGCTGTTGTTGTGATTGATTCAAATGTGAATGATTCCTAAATAATGGCGCCGGTGTTGATGATTTTGGCTGTAAAAATGATAATAATGGTTCCTTCTCTTTACCAACACATTGTATTATTGCCGATGTATTTTTGGAAGAAAGTAAACGTTTTTCATCATCATTCAATGAAAGATGATGATTTTCTCCAATGGCATGTGCAACGAAAGACTTGGTGTAACCGAATGATAATTTACAAATGAAACACATTAATATTGGCTTGACCGGGACTGAAGGACAATTTGTGGTGGCAGCATTTTGTTTCAATAAAGATTTTGATTCATCATCATCATCTTCTTGTTGGTCTTGTTCAATGAAATTTTCAATAAAATTATCATCATCATTATTATTAACATTATCGCCACCATCCACATCATCATCATCATCATCACTTTTGTTTTTCGTTTTTTTATTACGCAATGTAAACACTCGATAACTGTGCATAACTGGCACTTCGGTTGTTTTTGTTTCATTTGCGATTGTTGTTGTTGTTGTTGAGATTTTTGCTGCCACTGCTGCTGCTGCTGCTGTTGTTGTTGTTGATGATGATGGTGATATATTTGTTGCTGTTGTTTGTTGTCCACATAATGATGAATATAATTCGGCTACAGAGCTACGTGATATATGAAATGCTGATACAATTTGTGGAAATGAAATTGAACCATAATTTGGACTATGTCCACGTGCATCAATAATACTGCCTTCTTGGCTTATTTCTGCTTCCACTTCACTGCCATCAGAATCTGGACCTTCAATGATATATGCTGAACCATCTGGATTATAGACTATTTTACCATTGAATGTTTCAACATCACTTAATGAACTGGTACAACTATCTGTACCATCATTTAATGAAGCAGATAATGTTTGTTGATGATGATGATGTTGATCATCAATTGATAATGATGGATCTTTACTTGGTGATAATAATCTTGTATCATTTATCAACAATGGTGAACCGGCAGTTGCCGCTACTGGTGGTGATGATGTAGACATCAATGATGATGAATTCTTATGTAATGGAAAAGAATTTGGTGTAAATGGTGATGATGAACGCATTTGACCGGTATCCAATGAATTATTTAATGGTGATTTATTATCGACAGTTGTTGTTGTCGTTGAAATAATCAAAGCAGGATTGCCACTTGAAACCGTACTGGTCTCCATAGGAACGTTGAATTAGTAAATTAAAAAAAAATTGATGATGATTAATATTCCAAATTGATCGATCAAAACATGGACGCACGCACATAAAACAGATGAATTTATTTCTCAAACAAAAAAAAAATCGTATTGAAAGGGTAAACGACGAATGGAAAAATCAATTATTGCCACGTTTCTTCATTTGTTGCAAAACATTTCCGATCTTTTTTTTTCCTTTAAAATGATGTGGCTGTTATCAAAGTTTTTTTTTCATTGGTCTGTAGATGTCGATAAACTTGAATGAAGCAAAGAAAAAAAAAAGGATGATGATTTGAGATGAGATAATTCGTTCATTCGTCGTTTACGTTGTGTTGATAGTGGAATGTGATGAGATCTGTGTGTGTGTGTGTGGATGTATGTAGAACAAAAAAAAAGTAAAAGAAAAAAAAATTCATGAATTGAATGTTGAAAAATTTTTTTTTTTTATATAAATGAAAAATTTTACAATGACTATTTGTGATTATGAGTAATCGATAATCGATAAAAGGTAAAGAGACAAAATGAAATGAAACCAACAAACAAATGAAAAAAATTCACATGGAAACACACACACACACACGTGGAGTATAATGTATAAGCAAGCAAAGAGATGAATTTATGATTGATATCAATGAGATAATGAATAAATATTGTAAACTGTAATGATGATAAGAATCAAACAAACAAACTAAAAAAAAATAGCTAGTTGATCCAACTAAAAGGAAATGAAATAATCATAAAGATTTATATCACAGTCAGGATTTTTCATCTAAAATTTGTAAGCGGAAGTTGTTTTTTGTTGTTGTTGTGTTTATTTGAATTTTTTTACAATTTTTGTTGCATTCATAATTGTAAATCATGATGATGATGATGATGATGATAATGATGGCTCCCAATTAAAAAAAAAAAAATACAACACAGTGGATTCCACCTTTTTTTCAAAGAAAGAAAAAAAAATGCCAATGTTCATATACAGTTCAAGAAAGAAACAAACTATGAAATGGATGCTGATTTTTTTTTTACAGAAAAAAACACACACACACACACACTGCACAGATATGTATTCAACAATAGCCAAACCTTATCAAACATACACACATACACACATCATTATCACACATACACCATTACAGGTCTATGGCTAATCTTAAAATGAAAATAAATGAGGGAATGGCTTCGATCGTCGATTCAATGTGATCCTTTCATCATCATCATCATCATCATCAAAGAGTCTTTCTCTCAATTATTTTCTCTTCTTTATTATTCATACAAGGTTGAAAAGGCGGTGGTGGTGGTTGTTGTTGTTGTTGTTGTCATTGCGATGGTGGTGGTAATAGTGGTGGTGGTGGTGGCCGGTGATCTTTTTCATTTGAATTTTTTTTTTTTTGAAAAAAACCCGAAGGCGTCACCAAAATTAAATGATATATACAAGATTTGAACGAGAGCAACATGTGTGTGTGTGTGTGTGTGGAACAACACATAACAAGTAAAACATTTCTTGTATTTTTTTTTCATTGTTCTCATTCAGTTTTTTTTCAGAAAGAAAAAAACCTTGTACAATTTTTTAAAAAATTTTACCACTACAACCGATTTAATGACGATATTAATAATAATAATAATAATGACTTGCCAACAGGTATTCCTGATTGTTACGAAAACACAAAAAATAAAAATTTCTGGTTTTGTTTCAATGGAAATTTATTCGATGTGAATCAATCAATATTTACCACCACACCACCACCACCATCATCATCATTTTAGACACTTTACACTGGTTTTTTAAAAAAAACAGAAAAATAAAATGACAACAACAACAACAGTGTTAAATCTGTTTCAATTTAATTTGAATTGAATTTTATTGAAAGCCCATAAGCCAAATTCCAGATAAAAAAAAGAAAAGAAAAGAAAACGATTGTCATGTAAAAAAAAAATATCACAATCATCATCACCACCAACACCGTTATAAAACACGTTGGTGTTCAGTTATTTGGTACTACCAACCCAAATCACACACACCAGGTATTCAGTGCACTAAATGATCGGTGAATAAGAAGAATAAAAAGAAGAAAAAAATCTTAACAAATTTTCCTACACCTTTTTTTTATTATTTCATTGCCAATCGGCAATGAATCTTTGCTCGGTTGAATGCCATTAAATTAATTATATAATTTTTTTTTCTGCATTTTACATTTTGCTCGATTTATATAAATAACACCGAAGTAAATCGTCGTATCAAACACACACACACACTGGTGGTGGTGGTGGTGGCAAAGAGAAGGAACAACATGGGATTGTTTTTTATTATCATCATCATCATCATCGTCAATGATTATCAATATCAAGGTGAACTTTTCCAACCCCCTTCTTGCCACCACCCTCCTTTTTCCTTAGAAGATTAAGTATTTATTTTATTTTTTTTTTTTTGTTTCGACTTTAAATCAGATTGTTTGGCTAATGTTTTTTTTGTTGAACCTTTTATATTATCGTTGGTCGGTATCCAAGGTCAATATCGGTCAACAAGAAGATGATAACCGATTAAAAATGAGAAAAAAAAATTTCATTCACATGAATGAATGATTGAAACAAACAAACCGAGAAAGAAGAGAGAGAGAGAAAAAAGAGAGCGACGAAATAAAAAGACAATAGAAAAAACGGTAACGAAAATGGACATTTTTTTTTTTTTTTTTTGTTTTGTTTTGTTTTGTTCCATACCAAAATGATCTTGGTACGCACATATCACATATATACCGAAGAAACATGGGGATAGTAACAAACATTTCCATCATAATCAATGAAAATTGTTTTCCATGTTCGTATTTTTTTTTTTCTTATTTTGGACATTATTTGGAAATGAACACACCAAGAGAGATAAAAAAAGAGAAAAAGAAAAAAAAACACACCTGGACCACTTATTAATACTGAAAGATTGGTGAAAATTTACGTATTTTTTTTCTACTCAACTAACTAATCAAGTAAAAGGTGGACGCTACAAATCTCTTGAATGACAATATATATATATGACCTGATGAATATATATATATGGGGTGTACAATACTGTCCATATACTTGGATCGTCGTCGTCATCGTCGTCATTTGGTTACATTTGACAAATATCGTCAAGAAAAAAAATCACAAAAAGGAAAATTACAAGGAGAATAAGAAGAAAAAAAATCAGAGCTCCAAAAAAATGTGTTAAAAAACAACGACATAACTTGATTTTGTAATTATAAGCAGAGTGTAGTGAGTTTGAATTGAATTTCACGATATGTCATGACAACAACAACGAAAAAATACAGATCATTGTACCGTATTGTAATTGTGTTTAAAGAAGCAGCAAAAAAAAAAAAATCAAATGAGAAAAATGTTGATTAGGATCGAATCATTGATCATTGATCATTGGTGGTATGTGTGTGGCTACTGTTTTTTTTTGTTCTGATTGATTTCTAGTAGCAGTAGTAGTGTAGTAGTAGCCAAAAATAATAATCTATATGTTCACGGTGATCAACCAGAGCAAAGAAAAAAAAACGGTAACTGTCATATGATTTGGGATATTCATTTGGAACAGAACAGAAGAAAACCAAAAAAATTATCGAAAGATAGAGAGGAAATGAAACAAAATGTGAACAAATGAATGAACCAAAAAAAAGAAAAAACTGTCATTCATTTCTTTGTATATTTGATTCATTTTATTTGGGGAAAAAAAATGTCATCTTGTCATTATCATAATCATAATCATAATCATCATGATCATCATAGTTGAATGAACTATGATAATAATAATAATAATTTGGAATCTACATCTCGATCCAGGTTTCAAATCAATCATTTGATTATTAGGTGCGCCATGAATAATCGTTTTTTTTCTTTTTTTGGATAACATATGTGGAACGAGAGAAGAGAAAAATTTTCCCAGAAAAAAAATCACTAATTAATCCATGGTTCATGGTCCATCTATTTGATGATACCTGATACCAATGGCGAAGAATCCAATTCAATACAAATCTAATTGCAATTGAAGCCATAGTAGGAAAGAAAAAATCCAATTGGATACAATGTGTAATTGACACCGATTTGAATGGAATACAAGAATCGTAATATAAAAAAATGAAAATTGATACAAGGAACCAGAGAGCAGTCTATCGAGACGAGAATCAGAAAAAAAAAAAATCTCAGTTCAATAATAGCATCGTTCAAAGTTTGATAAAACAACAAAACACGACTGATCATAAAAGATAGACAGACCTAGTCATCATGAATCACGATAATTCGTTTGATTTGGAAAAAAAACAAGGAACCAAAAAAAAATGGAAGAAGAAGGCCAAGATTATCTATGATTGAACCGCTACTACAAATTATTATTATTATTATTAGAGAGAGAGAAGTCATTCTTAATTGCTAAGGATCAACAAAAAAAATAGATATTCAGTCGCGTCAAATAATTACAGTCGATGGTTTTGATATCTCAAATTTCAAATACGAACACACATACACAAGAACGTTTATTTTGGGTCAATCAAATGAAGAAAAAGAAATGCATTTCTTATTGGTATGGTTCGTCATTCAATCTGGTCAACAACAAAGATGATGATTACATGCACATGACCAAAAAAAAAAAAAAGTGGGGGCAAGCAAAATAAAAAAAAAGATGAAAGGTGATTATGACAACAACAACAACAACAACAATCATGACGTGTACAGACAAATATTAGAGAATCTGGCGCCTCTTAATGATAATAATTACTGATTTTTTTTAGTTCTACTAAGCACCTAATTACAAACATCGGCCACCATCAAACATCATTGGAATGAATTTTTTTTCTGATTCACAATCAAGGACCTGAGATTTTAAGACAAATATTGCAAAAAAAAAGTTTTCGTTGGCCTTATAATAAGTAGAGAACCACAAATGAGGACATAGAATGGTGGAAATAATTATTGTTCAATAAATAATTACAATAATTACGAATGTTTGGCCACTCAAAAAGTCTCTGTGTGTGTGTGTATGGACCCAACTGAACAACTACGAAAAACTTATTACCGGGTTTCAAAATAATAAGGACCAACGACGCGATCGATAGATTAACAATGCAGAGTGGTCACTTGTTGTTGTTGTTGTTGTCTAGTGAACCAATCAAGCAAATCGAACGAAATGGAAAGAAAAAAAAACGAACCAAACGAAATTAATAATCAGACAACAAACAAACAAAAAAAAAAAACAAGCAAAAAAAGACCTAGTTTGAGATGATAAAGATGACATCTTTAAGCAAGATATCTATGATGATGACTAGCCAAAAGAGAAAAAAAGTTGATTAGATTCAACTGTCTGTGTGTATGTGTGTATAACTAGTGGGAACTGAAAAAAAAACGAATGAAACAAACATAATAATGACACACACACACAAAAGAATACCGATTCTCTTTTTTTGGTGCCGACAAAATCATAAATCGGGACTTTGGTACTGTATGTGATGATGATGATGATGATGATAATGGACAGAATACAAACAAACAAAGAGGAGAAAATCAGACTAGCCGCCGGAATATAATCAGGTTGGACTTTGTTTTCAATTTTCAATCTGAATAAGTTCCGAAAAAAAAAATTTTTAAAAGCGTCAAAAAAAACAAACAAGGCACACAGATTTTTATTTGGAGATAAATCAATCGAAATTCATTTTCATTAACAAAAAAACAATTCAATCTGATGATTACAAATCAAATCGAATCGATCATTTTGAAAATTACTTTTTTTCATTTGATTTGTTTTTCATTCGGTTGTTTAGCTGGGTCCAAAAACCTGATATATATCGATGCGCTGGTGGTGCCATTCACACAACATTTGTGATTCATCATCAATGATGATGATGATCATCATCATTATTATATGGAGAGAATGTGGATTGGACAAAAGCAAAAGCAAAAAAAAAAGTTAATTACAAAGTTGATGATGGAAAGAAATAACAACAACGACAAGATAATTTTCTATATCTCAAGCAAACTAATTGCTACATTTTGTTCATTTGCTTCAAATATTTGAACTGAAAAAAACAACAACAACAACAACAACTTTAATTGTCATACGAAACATCATCAATACCATATACACACACACATACACACAGGCCAGATCGATCGATTAGCCGATCGACAAAAAAGGTGGAGATAATGATGATGATGATGATCAATATTTAATAATTAACCTTTAGAGACTTGATTATTATCATGAAAAACACAATGATATTCTATGGAACAAAACAAAACAAAACAAAACGAAATAAAAATCATAATGAAAACATACAATGATGATTGAGAATAATGAAAAAAAACAAACAAACAAAAAAAAAACATCAATAGATCATCAATAAGTATAATTAATGTGTCTAGATTCTGATTACAATTAAAGATTATCAATCAATTTTTTTTTGCTTTTTGTATTCTCTCTCTCTCTTTCTAACTAGAAAATTGAATTTCAAGAATCTTATGATCGATATATACAAATAAAATTGAATTGAAAATGAAAAAAAAACCAACTGAATAAACAAAACATAAAAAAAATGTAAGAAATGAATTTGCAGAAAAAAAAAAAAAAGAAGAAAAAAAAAAATCCAGAAATATGTATGCTGATCTTTATGGATGAACAATAGATTGGTGATATTTGACATGTCAAGCAATGCGAGAGAGAGAGAAAAAAAACGGTGGCAAATATGGAATGGAAATGAAGAACAAAAGAAACCGATGAAGAAGCTATAGCTAGCTAGCGAAAAAAGCTTGCGCTATGATATCAAGCCAAACGTCAATATATAACGGTCAATGAGGAGAGTGTTGTGTGTGTGTTTGATTGTTTCATTTAAGCCCTGAATACAAACACACACACACATACACAACAAGATACCGAAAAACGAAAATGAAGAAAAAAACCGCTGAAGAAACCAATGACGAATTACGGATCACTACTACTACTACCTAAGAATAGAAATATTACCATTTGAGACAAAACAATAGACCACCACCGATAACATATTGTCGTTTTTTTTACCTGAATTTATCAAACTAATGGAGATGAGAGGTAGGTGTGTGTGTGTTATGTTTGAGCAAGTGGGATGGAAAGAAATTGAAGATTTAAATTTAAAAATTTTTTTTATCGTTTTTTTTGTTTGCTCGTGGGAACTGTGTTGTTTAGATGACAGAGAGAAAAAAAAAATATTTAAATGAAATGAAAATGATCAAATGAAGAAATGAATGCTCACTCTCAAAGATTTCTTCTTCCTATTCACATTTCATTTAAGGATGATGATGATTATTTTTCTGTTCATTTGAAACAAGAACGATAACCTCCACCTCCACATTCCCTAAAACCATACTAACACCACCATCATCACTTTTCAGCTAACAACTTATTAGTATAATAATATATAATAGCAAATGAGAGATGAGATATTCACTCCTAGGTCTCCTAGGTTCAATATATTTGAAAATAAAAATCAAAGAAAAAAAAAATTAAAATGCCAGGTGTGTTTCACACACACACACACACACACACACAGTTGAAAAGTATATGGTAATGGTGGTACTTTTTTTTCATTTTAAATCAATTTATTAAAAAGAACAAAAGCAAACATAGACCACCGATCATCCAAAAAAGTGTACGACAACAACAACAACAACAACGACAACAACGACAACAATGACAATCAATAATCAAGCATTTGGTCATTTCATTTCATCTCAAATATCGACGATATGTATACCATTGGTTGTTTGAAAGTAAATATTAGTTCTCAATTGAATTTTTTTTTTTTTTTTTTTTGATGGTTATGTTAGTGGACATATTGGCCATAGATTCAGATCACCAAATATATGACAATTAGTTCATCGTGAGCTTAGTGTGAGCTAGCTCATTCACAATGGGCGTCCAAAGAATGAAGCCTAAACGAGAGTGTTACCTGTGTGTGTGTGTCGAAGTGATTGATTACTGGAATTTTTTTTTACCAATTTTATTTTTCAGTGCATAGCAACAACATCAAGAGAACGAGAAAAAAAATTTGAATCATTTTTTCGTCATAATCATTTCAATATATATATAATCCTCTCAAATTGAAGATGGAAAATTAATAAACAAAACAAAACAAAAAATGATTCGATTCGAATGGAATTCCATGGCCGATCAAATATCAAAGACAAATTTAAATATGGTTCGATTATGATGAGAAAAAAATATCTAATGACAATCTAGACCTCTATCTATCTATCGATCATCAATGTTGTCAAATTCAAATACATGTTAAATACACACAGAACGAGACTAAAGATTTAGTCCCAGACAGATGGCAATTAATTTTTTCTTTCTTTCTTTTTTTTGTCCAAAAACTATGGAGAAGATTTGGCCACAATCACATGGTGAACAATTGAAACTTTTTATTTTTAATGGTAAAAAAAATGGTTTTGTTTGTTCAGTGGGTATATATTATTGTTTTGTTTTCTTGTTCTTTCCGTTCCGAAAATTCAGTTGGTTTTTCACTAATCTTTTTTTTTCTTCACTGTTTGGAATGTGTTGTCACAAAAAAAAATCGTCGTGGTGGTTGTTGTTGTTGTTGTTGTGATTTAGATTGATAATAATAATCAGTGAGAGAGAGAGAAAGTTGACTAATTGAACAACAACAAATGAAATAACTAACTAACTAACTGACTGGCTGGCCGGACCAAAAAAAAAACGCAGACCATAAAAAAATTAATGAATGAATTGGACACTACTCAAAATATCAAAACCTAAAAAAACTGGGATATAGACAAATACCAGACATTTTCTTTATCATCAAAAGAACCAAAACAAAAAAACCGGTAAATACAATCGACGACAATCATCATCATAATCAATATTAATGTCTAGACTAGGTGCACTAGTAGTTACTACACACACACTCGAACAAAAAATAACCGGACAAATTAATCATATCCGGCTAGTGTGGGTGTTTACTAGCAGGTAAAAAAAAACAAAAAAAAAATTTCATTCAACAAAAATTCAAATTATAAATACCTTTTTTGAGGTTTTTATAGTGGGTGTGTTCGATGTGGTGGTGGTGGTATGATTCAGAATTTTTTTTTCTTTTCTTATTTCTTTCTTTCTCTCTCTCTGGTATTTGTCGTTATCAACATATAAATATAATTCTCAGCATGAAATTGGTCGCAATGAAATGAAATGATTTTCATCCAAAAAACATTTGTATGTCCATTTATTGTTGTTGTGGTTGTTGTTCAACGAATATTTATGATGATTGGAAAAACGAAAAACGAAAAACGAAAAATCAGAAGCCTAAAAATGAAAGAAAAAAATAATAAAAAAAACGTGAATGAAAAAAAATTGAAAATGAACAACAACAACAACGAAAAAAATGAATGAATGGAATTGAAATGAATCAATATCTCTTATATATAAATCAGCAAGAAAATAAAAAAAAAGAATCACAAACTCAAACGGATAAAGGAATCGTTTAACATTGGTCCAATTAAAATCAGAACCGATCAGAACAAGTGAACAATAGTGTGGTGTGGTGTGGTGAGGTGTGTGTGTGTGTTTGCTTTCTTGCTACTCTTTTTTTTCCTTTCTCCGTTCAATCCTTTTTTTTATGGACACAACGGTGGTTTCAACAACAACAACAACAACGAAAAGAAAAAAAATATAGAAAATTAATTATGACCGAAAAGTTTTTTTTTCTCTTTTCTTATGAATGAATAAATGAATGGAATTCATCATTCATTCACACACCGTGTGGTTTATTCACGAAAAAAAACACAATAGCCAATGGTGGTGGTGGTAGCGGTGGTGTTGGTAATTTACCAAAATGCAAGGTTTTTTTTTTTGATGAACACCTGAAAAAAAAATTCGTCCACAAAAAAAGTTCATTCATGGTTTTTTCCTTCAAATGAGAAATAAAATTGTGTGTGTGTGTGGGGGGTGAAGAATAAAATTTTTTACAATGAAATCAAAAAAAGATCAAGGTGAGATTCATTTAATTGATTGATTTAATTTTTTTTTATTATTATTCATGAAATGATTACCAGTTCAATTGGTCAATATCGTCCATCGATAATGAATTGATCTCTCTCTCTCTCTTTATCCGCATATATAAATGGTTGGATGGTCATTGAAACAACAACAAATTATCGGATAAATTTTTTTTTTCATTTACAGAACACAACCAAACAAACAAAATGTCACCAAGTAGAATCGACAACAAATAATGTAAGCGCAATGATGCAGATGACAATGAGTAAATGTACCCAAGTAACAGCGAAAAAAAAATTTTTTATTAAAATTCTAATTATGTTTGTCGAACAAACCAAAACAGAAATTGGATCGAATGTCCAGTCGAATATTGTGACAATACATACATACATACATTCAGAGCCCGAAATTCTATTCCAAACAAACAATAAACACAGACAAACAGAAAAAAAATCCTAGCCTCAATCAATAAATTCACAAAACAAAAGATTGACTTTTAAGGTTTATTTTTGTCGGTGTGTGAATGACTGGAACCACCACCACCACCACCACCACCACTCATTGTAATTGTGAATTTTTTTTGTCGCATCCAATGCACATGGACAATGTATATTTGAAATAAAATAAAAAAACTAAAGAGAGCGAGAGAGAGAGAAAGAAAAAAACGATAATCAAATGAATGAATGACAGTGGGCAAACAGAAAGAGAAGAAGAAATTATTATTAGCCATTTTGGAAACAAAAAATAAAAATGATGCAAGCAAGCGAACAACATTTACAGCTTCAAAGCATAGCCAAGTATTCTTTTTTTTTATTCTTCTATTCTGTGTCCTGTTCATTTTCATTTTCATTTTCTTTTTTTTTACTTGATGATGACCAGAGAGAATAAATGAATGAAAATGCCTGTCCATGTGTCAATGTTGGTTGGTTGGTTGGTCGGTTGGTTGGTTGGTGTGTGTGTGTGTGTGTGTTTGGGTGATGGACAAATGTGTGTTTGTCCAAGCAAAAAAATGAAATAATAATAAAAAATAATTAGAATTAGAATTAACGCATCCATGATGATGATGATGATGAGTTTCATTCATTTGGCTATTTGGATTGTTGCTTGGTTGATGTGTCTATGTGTGTGTGTGTGTGTGTTTGTGTTTTGAAACAAATATACAGTATATATATAGTGGAATGAAGAATCCAAATAATTACTCTAGCCATCCATCCATCCATCCATTCATTCATTCATTCAACAAAAACCAAATCGGCCAAACAAGCCAAGCTATTATTATATATTGGACAGCAGCAGCAGCAACAGCAGCAAAAGAATCAGCAATTGTTACACATAAACACAGAGAGAAATTCCCCACCCCACCCCACACACAGAATGATGAGCAAGCAAGCAATGATTGTGTGTGTGTGTGTGTGTGTGTGTGAACAACCAAAGTGTGTGAGTGGTTATTATTATTATTATTAATATAATTAATAAATGTATAAGAAAAAAAAAAGATTGACCAATTTTCAATGGATTCACATTTAGATTGGATTGGATTCATTCATTTCATTTCATTTCTCAATATGATTTTCAGTGTATGCAGAGATGCACAGCAATCATCATCATAGACAGATGGATGCTTTTGCTTGATGTACAGAAAAAAAATAATAATAATAAAACTACTATACAGACAAACGGTGAACACAAAAGCAAATCATCAACAACGAATTTATCCAATTGCAATCGCAATGACAATATTCTATTCTCTTTTGCTTGATTGAACATTCGGAATAATTCACATATTCATCAGTTTCGACCACCAGTGACAAATCAAAAAGAAAAAAAAATTAAAGAATTTTCATCATCAACAACAGTGAACATATGCAAAAAAAAAAAATGACGATTAATTATCCTTATGACTAGGTGGTGGCGCCATATAACTCATTCAATTAAAAAAAAAATTTGTAAATTATTTTCATCAAGAAAAAAATGATAAAAAAAAATTGCATGGCCCGAAATTTTCTTTGACCACACATATTCGATCGGGATATTATTGTTGTTGTTGTTGTTTCTATATTGTGTCAATCGAAAGTAAAAGATGTCAATATGTCATTGATCAATCCAAGAACAGAAAAAAAAAATACAGAAAACTGGCCTGACCAAAATGTAGTAATCAATGAATGAATGAATGAATGAATGAATGCAAATATATATTGATTGATTGCGTGATGGTCAAACAAGCAAATTGGAAAAAAAAGAACCAAAAAAAAAATAATAATAAAAGCAATAGGAAGTTAAAGTTTGATCTAATTAGAAATAACCATCCATTGATGGATGGAACAAGGAAAAAAATAAAAATGGAACATATGTAGCAAAAAAAACGGACATTGGTCAGTTGATAAACAGAAATTTATACAGCAAAAAAATTAATTAGTGTTGTATTTGCTATGGGAAATGAGTAGAAAACAAAAATTAATCATTATCAAATGAATCTATCAAAGTGAAAAAAAAACATCAAAGATCAATATATTCTCATATATACAAACACAGACATAGACAAACAAACAACCGACAATGTCTATGAATTCTACAACAATATGAAATTCTGGTGAATTTTATTTTTATTTTTTTTCCATTCCTCAATAAAAAACCGAAGAAGAGAAGAAGAGATTAAACATGTATATATTGCAAGGGATCAATAATGATTATAATGATGATGATGATGAGATAAGAAGCTATAGCGATCAGAGAAAAAAAAACACGGCAACACAATGTTTGTTTGTCGCAGCAGCAGCAATAAGCAGCAGTAAGAGTAATAATGAAGAAAAAAAAACGTATCATTAATTTCGATTTTCAAATGAACTGAATGAATGAATGATCATCATCATTATTAGATATATATAAAATGTGTCTGCATATGAGATATATATGCATATTTTTTTCATCATCATCATCATCATCGTCATTATGTGTGTGTCTGTGTGTGTGTTTATTCAGAGTAGGGTGTGCAAAAGAAAAAAGGAAAAAAAAAATTAATCAAAAAGGATTATCATTCATTCATTCATTCATTTTTTTGGGTAGGGGGCTAAACACATACTATGTGTGTGCATGAATTTGGAATAAAATGTGAAATGAAATGAAAAGTGATTATGTAAACCAATGAATATGTGTGTGTGTGTGTATGCATTTTATAGAGTATGAAAAATAAATGGATGGATGGATAGATGGATCATCATCAAAGTTGTGTATATAGATAAATAGAAAGAGTGTGTGTGTGTGTGTGTGGAAAGATAAAAAAAAGCCTTAACGAATTTTTTTTTCATTCATTTATTCATTTTTTTTTTTTTTTGATAAATTCAAATGAATAAAACACATATGCATACGCACATGCGTTTAAAATAATTTTGTAGACCAATAAAAATAACTACTACTACTACAACTGCTGATGATGATGATGATGATGATGTTTCGTTGATGATCATCAAAATGGGTTTATTTTACAACAGCCAAAACACGATAGATATAGTGGAAAAAAAGCTTTTTATTTTCCATCTTGGTAAATACTATAACAAGAGATGTAACGCAATGCAGTATATTTTTTTTTAGCAAATGATGGCTAATTAGCAAGATGATAGTAATCATGATCATCATCATCATCATCATTAAATGGAAATGGAAATGAAAAGAGAGAGAGAGAGATTTTTTTGTTGTTGTCGTTATGTAGTAGTAAACAAGATTCGATAACGAATAATTTTTTCCTATTTATTTTCAATTCCAATACGAATAACAAGAATAATAACAATAAAAAAAATCGACCAACTCTAACTGATGTTAGAAAATAAAAAAAAACATTTGCATTTTCAATGAAAAAGATGAAGAGAGAGAGAGAGAGAGAGAGAGAGATTCTTGTATTGATGATTCAAACATACAAGATTCTGTGTGCATGTGTGTGTGTAATTGATACAATGGATCAAACTCAATGTTCATGTTCATGTTGATGATGATGTTGATGATGATGATACAAAACTTTATCGCTTTGCATTTCCAAAAAGAAAAAAAAACGGAAATACGAATACGAAATTCATTCATCCAATAATAATAATAATAAGAATAACGCAACACAAATAGAAAATGTGACAGTGGGCACAAACTTTTTGTTCTGTTCTGTTTTGTTTTGTTTTGTTTTGTTCAACGCAAATATATATTTTAAATTTCGGATGTAACAGCAGTAGTACTCTGTCGTCGTCGTCTTCGTAGTTTTCATTATAAAATTT